CCAGCTCTTTATATAAAGTTGGATATATACTGTAAGTGTGTTCAACTTCATCCACAGTATAGCAAATCTCAATTGCTTGATTACTTGTATTGCCACACAAACTATATTATGCAACTGTAAGACATGAAGATATTAAGATATTACAAACATTAACATCATGATTTTTTTGCAAAGCTACTAAATGAGCTCAAAAACAAATAAATCGGTCATTAAATGAAAAATATCAATGAAACTAGTCAGAATTATTCGGCTTAATCTCATAAAAACATGTCCAGGTCTAAAAAAAAATAAAAATAAGAAGTCATATTTTGAATAAAGACAATTTATTATTATTTACTAATATTACTATTATTACTATTATTAATGTTTGTGATTTTTTTTTGTTTTTTTTGGGGAGAATTAAGCACATTCACCCCAATTGCAATGCATCTGATATTTACTTTTGATTATACATGGACCCATGTATCATGATTCCCATAACGTTTATTTTATTATTATTTTCATTTTATTTTTATAAGGGCAATACATATTAAATAAAATTTTTGTTTATTTTTATTATGATTACCATAACATTTATTTTATTATTATAATTTTATTTATTTATAATTTCTTTTTTTATTTATAAGGACCATTTTTATTCATTATACTTCATTAAATGCAGTACATCAAATTGCTACCACATACTGTAAAATTGTACATGTTGATATTTTTTATGTACTGTAGCTTAATAGTCCTCAAAATAAGGTCTTTTAAGAATTCTAATAGTAGACATTTTTCTTTTTTTGGAGTAAATACATTCTATTTTTGGAGTAAATTGTGATGTATGTGATTTCTCCTGTTTTCCCGCCATCATTATATCAGACTTTCTCCATGGCTCTTCAGTTCTCTTAAGCCCCGTTCAACTAGCAGCGACAAAAGTCGCTGTATGTCGCCAGGGGCTGGCGATGAGGTTGCTAGTGGGCGTTCTCAATACTGGTTGCCTTAGCAGCAAGAAACCTGATTCGCTGTCAAGTACAAACATTTTGGAGGCAAAAGACTAAATATAATCTAAATCTAAATTAAATCCGTACATACAAACAAAAATGAATGAGAAACAGAGCCTACTTTCTTCCATTGCGTATGTTTATCTATGGCGCTGAGAGGAGAACGATCACATGAGCTCTACCGTCGTCTTTCCTGTTGGCTGTCGCTCCCGAAAGTTGCTCTTCATTTGCATAAAGTTAAAGGATTCTGAACTTTGTCGCGTCGCTGGACACGCCCCATCCGGATCGCCAACGGCCGCTGTCGCTCGTGTCGCCGGAAATCGCCAGCTCTCCATTGAAATGAATGGGATTGTGTCGCTTTGCTGTTGCGTGTCGCTTGTAGTGTGAATGGGGCTTTACAGTATCTGCTGAGTCTGCAGATTCCTTCAGACGATCATATTATGAGCTGTATATCATCTGTTAACAGCCAGACTGAAGATCGATGATGAGATCATGTGACCTAGAGGTCAAGTCTGTGTTCAGAAACAGTTGAGTTCAGACTAGTTCTAATTATTCACCAGTCATTCTGAGAGACTACTAGTGATAATTCTTCTGTATTTTCTCATTTGAATGGCACATAAAAACTTCCATCCATTTCGATTGCCTAGTTTCAACGTAAACAAAATAATAAACTTAATGTGATGCATATTTGTCAATCATACGTAAATGAAACAGATCAGATTTCTCTCAAATAAAATCTCAGATTTCACTCAAAAATATAAATTAATGAATGAATAAATAAATACATTGTGGCATAATTTTTTTATTAACTATCTGCAGTGTTACTTTAGTATCTTTGAGATACATATATAGTATTTTATTAATGTTTTTAAAATTTTTCATTTTAATTTTAGTTAGTTTTAGTAATTTAGTTGTTCAATTCAATTCAAGTTTATGTGTATAGTACTTTTCACTATACAAATCGTTGCAAAGCAGCTTTACAGAAAATTAAGTTTCTACAATATATTTAGTAGTAGCTTGTCAGTGGTGACTGTCAAATTGATGTACATATGGCACAAATGTGAGATATATAGTTTAGTATCATTAACATAACAATGGAAACTAATCCCGTATTTTCTAATAATATTACCAAGGGGCAACATGTATATTGAATATAGCAGAGGACCTAGGACAGATCCTTTTGGCACTCCATACTTTACTGGTGATAATTGAGAATTTTAAAAGGGGTTGTAATTTGCCAGTTCATTAGGATCTAGTTGTGGTTTCTTAATAAGAGGCTTAATAGGTTGTGTGTTTGAGTTGTCTATATAGCTTTTATTAATATCTATTTCAGTTTTAATTTGAGTTATTTTACTACATTAAGTTAAACTAAATTTAAATAAGAAATTTTTGCGGAAATATTTTTTTATTTAATAAATGTAATATTTTTATTTCATTTAACATTTATTTTATTTCAAGTAATGAAAACTTTTTTTCATGGCTATAGTTTCAGTTTTCGTTTTAGTTTAGCTATAACCCTGACTGTTTGCATTAATTTGATTTGATTTAAATAGTTATATTTTGATTCAGATTGTTTAGAATCAGCATAAATCTGTTCATTGTGAAAACAATTAAAAATAATCGTTTAAAAAGTATGAACATAAAAATATGGTTAAAATAAGTTAGTTAAAATGTATGAGATTGAAACAAACTGGATTTATCGATAAATGAATGAAGCTGGTTATTGTGTATTTAAAACACATTCAGTCTAGTAGTACTATTACCAAACTTTGAACTGTTTCTTATTTGTTTTATTTATGTATGATTGACAAATATGCATTTAATTAAGTTTTTTTAGTCTGTTAAAACTGTGTAATTCGAATGGATGGAAATTTTATATGCACTTCACATACATGAATCCAAAATGTAGGCCTAAATACTTCTTCTGTTTTTTATTTAGTATAACATGCTCTGATGTAAATGGACTCCATTCGGATTTCATGTTCACTTTAAAATGTCTCAGTATCGTGCTCCTGTGTTTGCAGCATTATAACACCATCATATAAACCTCAATGCGATAGAATTTAACAGCCTTATAGCCAAAGGAACAAAAGAGTTTTTATAATGATTGTGTCTAAACCTTGGGGTACGGAAACGTCGACCAGATGGGAGTAGTTCGAATTCTGGATAAAGCTCATGAGAAGGGTCCAGAGTCATTTTTCTTGCCTGTTTAAAAATAATTTAGTCAAAAATAGACTGAAGATTGGGGTAAACCCCCAGACCAACCACTTTCATTGCTGTATGAACCAAACGGTTCAGCTGAGATCTAAAAACAACTGTCAGATTACCAAACCAGGCCGCCATACCGTACAGAAAGATGGATTCAATAGAGGCATGATAAACAGCAACTCCAAAAATTCTAAGCCTCTGTAGAAAGTACATTTTTTTGTTGCACCTTTCTACACAGATTATCCACATGCATCTCCCATGAAAGTTTATTATCGATAAGCAACCCTAAATATTTGTATGAGGCCACCTGCTTAATGGACTCATTGTTAATCATGATGGGTGAATGATTACCTAGTTTGAAATCAAAAATCATTTCCTCTGTTTTACTAACGTTAATTACAAGACTGTGTACTTTACTCCATTTGTACTTTACTCCTTTACTCCTCTACAGCAATTTCTGTAGTATAATGTTGAATGTCCTCATCCTTATGCAGGAGACCAAGATTGGCAGTATCGTCTGAGAATTTTACAACAATATTCCCAGGATGGTCCTATATTCATTGGTGTACAGTGTAAATAAGAGTGGTGAGCATACACACCCCTGAGTGTGTAATGTTTTATATATATATATATATATATATAATTTGATTTAGTTTTTATCATATTTTCTTTTAAGTTTGTTTTAGTAATTGTAGTAATTTTGAAATGTTCTTGTGCTTTTTTCATTATTATTATTATTGTGGTTTTATTTATTTTATTTTTATTTAGCTTTAATTTATTTAAGTTTTAATAATACTAGTAATTTGGTTGTTTTGGCATTATTTCTTTTAATTGTTAATAGAAATATTAGTATTTATATATTAGAATATTTATATACTTATAATTTATGTTTAGCTTTAATTCATTTTTATTTAAGTTTACGTATGACTAATTTTAGTATTTTTTGTCATTATTGTTATTAGTTCAAAAATATTTCTATTTAGCTTATTTTCATTTCAGTTGAACTTTTTGTAATTTAGTCATTTTGTTGTGTTTTGTCATTATTAGTAGTAGTTTTTAATTTTTCTATTTAGCTTTCATGTATTTTTAATTACGTTATAGTAGTTTCACTAAAACTTGAACTTATTTCAGTTAGTCAAGGCAACCTTTCTATTTTTGTGTTTTTTTATATTAGGTTTCTAAAATTAATTTTAATATTTAATGTTCAGTATTTAATATATCCAATACTTGTATTTTGTTTTATTTCAGCTTGATTTCAGTTAATGATTTTTTAAAATAACATATGGTTTCCAGTGTGAATAATGAGCCATCATTAATTTAACAAATATGTTTTTTTCAGATGTTCAAATGTTTTTATTTCAGAGATGATAGCAGAAACATGGATATTACTATTTACTGCACACTATAGTGTCAAATTGTCAAATATTACACCCACGTCTCTGGAAACCATTGCTAAAACAAGTTTATTAATGCAGTATCTGAACTTTGGCACACACTGTATTATCCTAACAGTGGACATTTATCTGTATCCATATACTGCTTGAGTCCTGACATGTTAGTGTGACATCAGACATCTTTATTTCTGGATTTCCACACATCTTTACGTTTTTCCAGCTTTAAGTGGGTGGGATTGTGTTGTGAACTGAAGGCAGCATTAGAGCAGAAGTGTGTGTGTCATTGTCAAGGCCTCAGACAGGGTTAATCAATGGCACTGCTAAGCAGCGGATCCCTGTCTGCTCTTCCCCATAATGCACTGCATGTATTTTTACAGCTCTGATGTCTCTTGATCTCTCAGTTTTTGTCCTGTAGCACAGCAGCTATCAGACCGGCAGATGCAGGCATCATTAGGCTCATTGCTCGGGTCTGTGCGCGCCGGACCGAAGCGTTTGATTACTGTAACAGCACAGAATCACTGTTTGTGGGAGAAGAAAGCATCGGATTCAAAGCACACGCATTTGGTAATGTGTTTCCCTCGCGGTAAGGATCAGATGGAGACGAGGTTATGAGTCCCGTCATTCTGGAGTGAAAGGCAGGCGAGGCGCTGGTGTTTTGTCACAGTTCATGTTGATGAAGGAGCTGGAGGATCAACAGACCTCCTGCTATTCTGTATAAAGCTGAATTTACATGTGAAGTTAATGAGTGAATTAAAGGGTTAGTTCACCTAAAAATGAAAATTAGCTTGTGTTTTACTTACCCTCGAAGCATCCTAGGTGTATATGACTTTCTTCTTTCAGACAAATCCAGTCAGAGTTATATTAAAAATTGTCTTTGATCTTTCAAGCTGTTTCATGGCACTCAGCGGGTG